ATACAAACAATTTATTAAGGTGCATGCATGTCAAACAATTTTAAGTTTTTCAATATATGCTTTTTATATAAATTATTCAAGTAACTCTGAAAAGTTTGGATTTATAACCAGAATTGTGTTACAATAGCGTTAAATGTTTTTGATATTTCATATTGTGACAAACTTTCTTTAAAAAATCCGCGTTTATAGCCTTGCAGGTCTTCGAAAATTGTCTTTAAAAATCCGCGTTGATGGCTTTGTAGTCCTTGAGAAAGTATTCTTTTGAAAATCCACGTTTATAGTCTTAAAGATCCTTGAAAATTTTTTCAGCATTTTAGGTCCTTCAAAATATACTTTAAAACTCCACGCTTATTGCCCTGCAGGTCCTTGACAAATATTCCTTATGAAACCCATGTTTATAGTTGTTATCTTTTGAAAAATATTCGTTGAAAAATCTACGTTAATAGCCTTACTAGTTTTTCAAAACATATTCTTTAAAATATCCACTTTTATATCCTTGAGGTTCCGTAAAAGATATTCTTTAAAATGTCCACGTTTATATCCTAGAGGGTCCCGTAAAAAATATTCTTTAAAAATTCTTTTGATCCTTGAAAAACATTTTTGAAACTAATTCTTTAAAATGTCCACGTTTATATCCTCGAGGGCCCGTCAAAGATATTCTTTAAAAATTCTTTTGGTCCTTGAAAAATATCTTTGAAACTAATTCTTTGAAAAATCCACGTTAATAGCTCGAAAAATATTCTTTGAAAATTCTTTTGATACTTAAAAAAATCCTTGAAATCTACTCTTTGAAAATTCTTTTGATACTTAAAAAAAATCCTTGAAATCTACTCTTTGAAAAACCCATATTTATAGCCTTGAAGGTCCCTGAAAAATATTATTTGAGAAATCCACGTATATAGCCTTGAAGGTCCTTGAAACATATTATTTGAGAAATCCACGTATATAGCCTTGAAGGTCCTTGAAAAATATTCTTTGAAAAATATACGTTTATAGCCTTGAAGGTCCTTAAAAAATATTCTTTGAAAAATCCACGTTTATAGCCTTGAAGGTCCTTGAAAAATATTCTTTGAAAAATCCACGTTTATAGCCTTGAAGGTCCTTGAAAAATATTCTTTGAAAAATCCACGTTTATAGCCTTGAAGGTCCTTGAAATATATTCGTAAAAAATCCACGTATATAGCCTTGAAGGTCCTTGAAAAATATTATTTAAAAAATCCACATTTATAGCCTTGAAGATCCTTGAAAAATATTCTTTGATAAATCCAAGTTTAAGCATTTTAGGTCCTTGAAAAACAATCTTTGATAAATCCACGTTTATATCCTTTAACGTCCATGAAAAACAATCTTTGATAAATCCACGTTTATATCCTTTAACGTCCATGAAAAGCCATCTTTGATAAATCCACGTTTATATCCTTTAAGGTCCATGAAAAGCAATCTTTGATAAATCCACGTTTATAGCCTTGAAGGTCCTTGAAAAATATTCTTTGAAAAATCCACGTTTATAGCCTTGAAGGTCCTTGAAAAATATTCTTTGAAAAGTCCACGTTTATAGTCTTGAAGGTCCTTGAAAATATTCTTTGAAAAATCCACGTTTATAGCCTTGAAGGTCCTTGAAAAATATTCTTTGAAAAATCCAGGTTTATAGGCTTGAATGTCCTAGAAAAATATTCTTTGAAAAATCCACGTTTATAGACTTGAAGGTGCTTGAAAACTATTGTTTGAAAATCCACGTTTATAGGCTTGACGGTCCTTGAAAACTATTCCTTGAAAATCCACGTTTATAGGCTTGAAGGTCCTTGAAAACTATTCCTTGAAAAATTCACGTTTATAGTCTTGATGGCCCTTAAATCTATTCTTTGAAAATTCCAATTTTATAGGCTTGAAGGTCCTTGAAAACTATTCCTTGAAAATCCACGTTTATAGGCTTGAAGGTCCTTGAAAACTATTCTTTGAAAAATCCACGTTTATAGGCTTAATGGTCCTTAAATCTATTCTTTGAAAAATCCACGTTTATAGCCTTTAAGGTCAGTGTAAAATATTCTTTGAAAAATCCACTTTTATATTCTTGAAGTCCTTGTAAAATATTCTTTGAAAATCCACTTTTGTAGCCTTATTGGTCCTTGAAAAATATTCTTTGAAAAATTCACGTTTATAGCCTTGAAGGTCCTTGAAAAATATTATTTGAATGATCCACATTTATAGCCTTGAAGGTCCTTGAAAAATATTCTTTGAATGATCCACATTTATAGCCTTTAAGGTCCTTGAAAAATATTCTTTGAAAAAGCTACGTTTATAGGCTTGACGGTCCTTGAAAATTTTTCTTTGAAAATCCACCTTTATAGGTTTGACGGTCCTTGAAAACTATTCTTTAAAAAATCCACGTTTATAGCCTTGAAGGTCCTTGAAAAATATTCTTTGAAAAATCCACGTTTATAGCCTTGAAGGTCCTTGAAAAATATTCTTTGAAAAATCCACGTTTATAGCCTTGAAGGTCCTTGAAAAATATTCTTTGAAAAATCCACGTTTATAGCCTTGAAGGTCCTTGAAAAATATTCTTTGACAAATCCAGGTTTTTACGCTTGAAGGTCTTTGAAAAATGTTCTTGGAAAAATCCACGTTTATAGCCTTGAAGGTCCTTGAAAAATATTCTTTGAAAAATCCAGGTTTACAGGCTTGAAGGTCCTTGAAAAATATTCTTTGAAAAATCCACGTTTATAGCCTTGAAGGTCCTTGAAAAATATTCTTTGAAAAATCCACGTTTATAGCCTTGAAGGTCCTTGAAAAATATTCTTTGAAAAGTCCACGTTTATAGTCTTGAAGGTCCTTGAAAAATATTCTTTGAAAAATCCACGTTTATAGCCTTGAAGGTCCTTGAAAAATATTCGTTGAAAAATCTAAGTTTATAGACTTGAGGGTTCTTGAAAAATATTCTTTGAAAAATCCACGTTTATAGCCTTGATGGTCCTTGAAAACTATTCCTTGAAAATCCACGTTTATAGGCTTGAAGGTCCTTGAAAACTATTCTTTGAAAAATCCACGTTTATAGCCTTGAAGGTCCTTGAAAAATATTCTTTGAAAAATCCACGTTTATAGCCTTGAAGGTCCTTGAAAAATATTCTTTGAAAAATCCACGTTTATAGCCTTGAAGGTCCTTGAAAAATTTTCTTTGAAAAATCCACGTTTATAGGCTTGAAGGTCCTTGAAAACTATTCTTTGAAAAATCCACGTTGGTAGCCTTTAAGGTCCTTGAAAAATATCCTTTGAAAAATCCAAGTTTATTGACTTGAAGGTTCTTTAAAAAAATTCTTTGAAAAATCCACGTTTATAGCCTTGAAGGTCCTTGAAAAATATTCTTTGAAAAATCCAGGTTTATAGGCTTTAAGGTCCTTGAAAAATATTCTTTGAAAAAATCTCGATTATGGCCTTGAAAGTACTTGAAAAATATTCTTTGAAAAAATTCTCTTTATGGCCTTGAAGATCCTTGAAAAATATTCTTTGAAAAATTCTCGTTTATGGCCTTGAAGATCCTTGAAAAATATTCTTTGAAAAATTCTCGTTTATATCCTTGAAAGTCCTTGAAAAATATTCTTTGAAAAATCCAATTTTATAGGCTTGAAAGTCCTTGAAAAACATTCTTTGAAAAATCCACGTTTATAGGCTCGAAGGCCCTTGAAAACTATTCTTTGAAAAATCCACGTTTATAGGCTTGAAGGTCCTTGAAAACTATTCTTTGAAAAATTCACGTTTATATTCTTCGAAAAATCCACGCTTATAGCCTTGAAAGTCCTTGAAAGGTACTCTTCGAAACAATCACGTTTATAGCCTTGAAGATCCTTGAAAAATATTCTTTGAAAAAATCCACGTTTATAGCCTTGAAGGTCCTTGAAAAATATTCTTTGAAAAATTCACGTTTATAGCTTTGAAGATTCTTCAAAAATATTCTTTAGATTATCCACCTTTTTATCCTAGAAGGTCCTTAAAACATATTCTATAAAAAATCCATGTTAATAGCCTGTTAGGAACTTAAAAATATTCTTTAAAAATCCTCGGTTGTAACCTCTTAGATCTGAAAAATATTCTTTAAATTATATTCCTTTAAAAGTATTCTTTAAAAATTGAAAGTATATAGCATCGCAGGTCCTTGAAAATTATGTTTCAAAAAATGCATGTCCTTTGAAAACCCTTCAAAATATTATCTCCAATTTTTAAAACTAAAACAAAAGACCCCGCCATTTGACCCACATTTTGCCCTGGGCCATTCATTTAAAATAAAGAAAAAACGTCCCTTCCCCACCACAAAACTTTTAACTACTTCATTATGGCCTGACTCGAAGCTATTCTGGAAGTAAAGATATGTCATTACTTTGTAATGCCAGTCATCAAGAAAATGACTCGGCCGGAAAGTTTGGACATTTGTTTTGTTGCGATGTGAACCAGAAAAAAAAGAACAAGTCTCGAAATAATCTACCTTCCCCCCCTTGCCCACCAATGAAATGAGAAACATAAACTTTTTTTTTTTAAATAAAAAGAAAAACAGTTTAGCATGGACAATTTAAACATTAATTTTTTACAAGTTGCCATCAACATGAAAAGTTTGCCTTTTCCATACTCTGTGGCTCTCGTTGGCGGAATGTCTTTCAATAAATGATGAGGAAATTAAAATTTTAAAGTTTTGACCACAAGAGGAAGCTGACAAAGAACAACAACAAACATGCAAACAAATAAAGCCATAAAGAAGAGAAAAAGGCGAACAGCTCTGATGCCCGGCAAATGACAGTGTGATGACAGAAAATGGCAGTGGTCTCCAGGCGAAAGGACGACATGGGACTCAACAACAACAACAAAAATCCCAGCAGACCACATCCCAACCCGGGCTGGTGGAAGGAAACAGAAACAAAGTAACCACAAAGTAACTGCTATGAAAACAAAGGCAAGCACTCTCACACACACATGCAAATACTCATACACACTCACACACACCCATTAATACATACCCTTCACCATATATGCCAGCGGTGGTGCCGGCCATAGCCAAGGCCTTATAACGTGCCTGCTCATCCGTCGGCAGGACAATGTCGACCGACCTAGAACGTGTTGCATTGATGTTGGGCACGGTCAGGAAGCAACCATCACTGGGCTGGAGTTCTTCCGTTTTATTGCCCGACGATACTTTGGAAAAACACGAATCAACCGAGGCGGCACGATCACGTCTCAAATCAGGTACAGTTAAATAAATATCACGCACAACCAGGGCATGCTTGCCGCTACTGCTGCTGGTGGTGGTTGTGGCCATTGTGGCTCCAACCGCCGGCGGAGCGGGCGAACCACAAATGGCCAGTGTTGAGATCTCATCAATCGAAGAATTCACACCATCCGCCGACGATTTCAGCTGTTCCTCCTGGGAGACGTTCTCCAGCGAGTTACCTGTGGGTTCAACAAATATAGCTTCTTGTCGGGATATGGAACGTCGGCGTGGTCTCTGACTGGGGGATGATAATGGCGATGGTGGTGGTGGCATGTCATCATGACCTAGCGCAGGCATGGGCGTGGTCGTTAAGCTAGAGCCATCGTTGACGGCCGAGGAGGCTATAGTAATGGCAGGTGAAAAGTCATCGGTACTGAAGGCTGGTGGTGGTGGCAAAGTTACATCGAATGATGGCGCTTGTGGCAGTAATTCTAGGGGTGATATGGGTGGAGGCGGTGGCAATTCCATGACTGGACTATCGCACACGGACAAAGCAAATGAAGGCGATGCAGGCGGTGAACCCGGATCAATGGGAAATGAATAGGAGGGAAAGGGCGGGTAATCACCGTTGGTCGGGGACAGCGTGAATGTTATGCCGCAGGGTGTGGTCGGTGGCGGGGGCATTAATGTATTGCCGAAATGTGGTGAATCATGCTCGGACTCTTCGAGACCCTCATCCTCGGATGTGGTCACCGAACTACCAATGGTGTGACGTCTCATTTGCCGTGGCAAGCGAGCCCGCGTCTCATCTATACTACTTGTGACCATACCGCCCAGACGTATATCCATTTCCAGGGCCGCATCGTCGTACACATCTAACGTTTCGACACTCTGCTTGTCGTCATCGGGGCAGGCGTTCAGTAGATCATCATCAGTAGCATCGCCCTCCTCCAGCAGGCCAACATCTCCATCGGCCCCCTCTCCCACCTCGCCTTCCTCCTCTTCCTCTTCGACAAGATCTTCATCGATTTCGGCAGTTTCGTCTTCATTGTCATCGCTTAGCTCGGAACTGGTTATGCTATAGCTAAGATTTTTCATTTCATGATGATCGATCAGATAACGTTGTTGGGCACGCATCTGTTTCTCGTACTCCTCCAGATAGAAGCAGTGTATACAGGGTGGCGGTGTCTTGGTCGATGAACTGCGTCGATTTTTACCACGTCGCGGTACCTCGAGGAATGTGCCCGAGTCGTCACTACCCGCCGAAGCTGCAGCCGAATCAAACGAGTGCGAACGTTGGGCATGCATGGCCTGCGGCACCTGAAGAAAGCCTCCCTCCGAGGAACGTTCATCCGATGAGGATTGTTGTTTCAGGAAATGGGTGGACATTCGTTGTGACTCCAGTTGCATTTCATCGAAAGACGCTGAGCGTACCTGCAAAATATGGAAAGACAGAAAAAGGGGGGAGAACTATTAGAATGATGCTTATTTAAAGTAATAAGAGGAGAATATCTTAGAACATTGAGCTATGAATTGTGAGAGCAGATGCATTGAATATCTTGATATTCAAACTCAAATTCCAAACTCTCGAAAACTCCTGCCAACCGAGTAGTTGGCGTTCGAATAGTAATCTAACAATCGATGGCCCATGGAAAGTTTTCGAGAATGTTTGTAGTTAAGGTACAGAAAGTCTTTTAGACATGGAAGAAATTGTTCTATGAGGGACATTAGGAAGGTCCTTTATCTCTACAAGATCTTCGGTACAAAGAAGTCTCTTAGAAGGACGACTATCTGTAAAAAATCTGCAATAGGTATTCCACCAAAAAAAAAGGCTTGTAGATGTAGAAGGACGACTATCTGTAAAAAATCTGCAAAACGTATTCCATCAAAAAAAGGCTTGTAGATGGTCTTCCATCTATGGAAGACCCGTGGAAGATTTTTTCTAGGTTTTTGTAGGAATAAAATACGTTATGAAGTCTTCTAGCTATAGATCAATGTCCTCAATATATCAAAGTCGTTTATAAGAAAATATTCTCTAAAATTATTAATAAAAAAATACAGCCTTGGAAGTCATTGAAAATAATTTATAAATATTCTTAAAAAATCCATAGTCGTAGCCTTCAATTTCCTTGAAAAATATTATTTAAAATTCATGATTATAGCCTTGAAATTCCTCAAACAGCCTTGAGAAATATTAGTAAAACCATTGCACAATGGACCGACATTAAATTTTTCTGTCCAAAACTATTTTAACGACTTTATATGTAAACCCTAGAAACCAACAGTCGCCTCAATATAAAATTTCAGAATTTCAGCCCTGTAATTTCTTCCATTACCAAACTTAGTACCATTTAGTACTTTTCTTACAATTATAGTACACATTTCCTAAATCAAATCTACATTTCAATCCCAGATACCAATAGAGACTTGAATATCAAATTTCGGGATTCTAACTCTATCCCTTCTCCGAATATTCTATTTAGTACCACTTAGCACGTTACGTACAAATTAAGTACACATTTCCAAAACCACCATATCTTAACCACGGATACCAATAGAAAAATCCATACTAAATTTAAGGATTTCAGCTCTTTCTTTCTTTTCCTAGATACCAACAGAGACCTCAAAATAAAATTTCAGGTTGCCACCCCTATCCCTTCACTTAATTACAAATTTAGTACCATTTAGCACTTTTTCTTATAATTGTAGTACACATTTCCGAAACCATCTCCATATATCTAGGCTAAACATTAACAGCGACATCAATACCAAATTTCAGATTGCAAACACTATCTGTTCACCCAATACCAAATTGTACCAAATATAGTACTATTTAGTACTTTTCGTGCGCGTTTTTTTATGCGCATTTCCAAAACCATCTCTTTATGACAAACATACCATCAACAGGGACCCCACTACGACATTTCAAAATGTTAGCTTTACCCGTTTACCCTAAACCAAACTGTTCCAAATTCCGTACTATTTAGTACAGCTGTAACACTTATTACACGTTTCCAAAACCACCTTCATATAATAAACTTACTTTCCAACCTTGCTGCTTATACCGAATTTCAAGTTTTTAGCTCTAACCATCACATACTACCAAACCATACCATTTTAGAAGTTTAGTACTATTTTAGAAATTTTTGTAACCTTAAAATTTAAATTTCCAAAAGCCCTTCGACAGATATAACCTACACTCCATCAGTAACTCTAATTCCAAATTTCACAATTCTAGCTCATTCCGTTAATATATTCAATAGTTAGTACATTTTTTTTTTTTTCGAAACCCTAAAGTATGAATTTCTTATTCTGCATTCCATCGTTGACCCTCATTCCAAACTTCAGAATTCTAGCTCTACTGATTTGTCAAATATTTAGTACCATTTAGTAGTTTTTGTGCACCTTAGAACAATTTTGGAAAACTAACTCCATTTCTCAATGCTACGATCCGCCAGTCATGTTTATTTCAAATTTCAGGATTCCAGCTCCATCCCTTGCTCCAAATTCAAATTGTACCAAATTTAGTACCGTTTAGTGCACCCATGAGTACACACTTCCAATACTACCTCCTTACATCGACCCTACTCCTCAACTTAGATTCCCATTCAAAATTTCAAGGTGTAAGCAATTTAGTACTTTTCGTACACTTATAGCGGGGATTTCTAAAAACCTTTTGGTACATCTATTACCCTCACTCCATCAGTTACCCTCATTCCAAATTTAAGATTTTTAGCCCTACTGGTTGCTTCAACCAGTAGAGTACGTTTTAGTACTTTTCGTATCGTTCTAGTACGAATTTCTAAAAAGCCTGCCTTATCCGACACCTTCGGGCCAAGAGTGAACCTCATTCCAATTTTCAAGATTTTAGCTTCAGCCGTTTCGTTCGGGCGTTGAGGAATCGATAAATCAGTCAATTACTTTATTCTTTTCTTAACCTCGATCATCTCCTTCAACCTATTTTTTATACCCTCAGCCATATGGCTACAGAGGGTATATATCATTTGATACGGCCAAATAGGCACGAAATAACGGTTTTAGACCCTAGGTCTCTTTGGACCAAATCCGTTTCAGAACATTTGGAGTCGATCTAGCGATGTCCGTCCGTCCGTCCGTCTGTCTGTCTGTCTGGCTGGTGCGCACGATAACTCTCGAAGGAAGTATCCGATTTGGTCCAAATTGGCTACATCGTAATGTTTTTGTCAAACTTAGATCGAGTTCGGAGATGGGCAATATAGGCCCACTCCTTTTGGTACCTCCCCCACAAAAGCTCGAATTTTTCAAAGAATATATTTTTTGCACAGAAAGAGAAAGGATATTCCGATTCTGCTACAACTTTGCAAACCCTAATATTTGCGTCAGTGCTAGTTCAGGTGTGAAAATGGACAATATCGGTCCACTCCATCAAGTACCTCCCCCACAAATGGTCAAAATTTTGAATAATTACAACTCTCATAAAATGTGATGTAAGAGTCCGATTGTCTTCAAATTTCACACATCCCAATATTTATATAAACCCAAGGTCTGGTGTTAAGATGAACAATATCGGTCCACTCCTTCTGGTACCTCCCCCACAAAAGGTCGAAATGTTCAAAAAATATATTTTTTGCACAGAAAGAGAAACGATAATCCGATTTTGCTCCAACTTTGCAAATCCCAATATTTGCATCAGTGCTAGGTCAGGTGCAAAAATGGACAATATCAGTCCACTCAATCAAGTACCTCCCCCACAAATGGTCAAAATTTTGAATAATTACAATCTCATTAAATGTGATGTAAAATTCCGATTGTCTTCAAATTTCACACATCCTAATATTTGTATTAACCCATGGTCTGGTGTGAAGGGGGAATATATCGACCCATTCCTTCTGGTACCTCCCCCACAAAATATTGAAATTTTGAGTATCCATGAAGCTCATACAACGCCAAATTAACATCCGATTCCATTTACACTTGGCACATCTGTCGAAATATTTATATCATATTTTTGGGTCCGATAGGAAATGGGCGATATTGGACCATTCCTTCGGGATCTGCTCCATAGAGGGTCAAACGTTTGAACAATCTTAACATAAATATATTTAGATAATCGAACATAGGCTGAGGGTATATATCTGGCGGCAATACCGACTGATACTTTTTAACTTGTTTTAATCTACGATTGTGTCGTTGGTGAGCGTGATAGTAGCTATGGCGGTTTTTAAAAAATCCATGAATGTCCTTGAACATTTTTTATGAAATCCACTTATATAGATTTGAAGGACATTACGATTATTTTTCAAATCCACGATTGTACCCTTGAAGGCTTTTGATACTATTTTTCATAAGGTCCGTGTTTTAAGTCTTGAAAATATTTTTTTTTTTTCAAATTATGGGATTAAAGCTTTGGTATCATGAAAAATAGGTCTTTTAAAAAATAATCTATGGTTATAGTGGTGTGATCCTTGGGAAAATATTCGTTAAAAGTGCAATGAGTATAGCTCTTCAAGAATTATAAAGAAAAAATACATAATTATAGCTCTGCTGATCCTTAAAAATTACAAATTTATAGTTCTGCGGGTTCTTACAAAATATTCATTACTAGTCCTCGAAATATATTTAAAAAAATCGAATATCAAAAAATCCATGTGAACACCCTAGCTTTTCCACGATTATGTTTGAGCTGATCCTTGAACAAGCTGGTTCTTGAACAAATACTTATAAAAAAACTCAATCTGTTTGTTCTTGAAAAATGTTCCTAAAACCACGGCCAGCTATTGAAATCCAGGGCAACAAAAAAATGCACTATTATGCATCAGTTGTTCATTCGAAAAATATCCTTTAACCGTGCCATCTTATACCTCTGTTGGCCTTTAAAAATATTCTTTAAAACTATCACGATTATATCTCAGGTGGTAAAAAAAACTCCGCAATTAATGGTCTCATAGTCCTTGAAAGTTCTCTGTATAAGAAGAACTTCTATGTATATAAGTCTTCTTGCATTTCTTTAATCATTAAAGGATGTATAAATGGATCCTAAATTCATAGGAGTTCCTTAAGAATGTCCGTTTTCGTGCCTCATCTTAAGAACTCAATTAAGATCAATAAATTCTCACATATTTTTTAAATTTTATCATCCTTACACGCTACTCCTTAGCCCTCATCTGAACACGGTATGTTTCTACTTAAAATTACTGATTAATTGCTCCTGAGGACCACTGCATATTAAATGTAAAATTAAAACAATGACACATTCGTTTTTCTCTATTGTTTTTAAACTAGGGCGATAAGACGAATGGCGATTTTTCACAAATTCTTATTCGTCACATAGTTTTTTTTCTCTCTCTCTCTCTCTGTGAGGGAGAATATTTAATGATGAGGTAATGCATACAACGCGATGTATTATTGTAATAATAAACTCAAACAGCTAGACTGCCAGTCAGTCCTCCGACAGC